AGATACTCCAATTATTATAACTTGCATTTTTATTGTTTTACTAGTTTTTATAGTATTTAGATATACTATGTTGTTGTTAAGCATAAAGCACATGTTTTAAAATTCAAAATAACATCAAATCATTATGTTTTACTAATGTATCTTAATTGTTGTTTAGACAAAGACTAGAGAACTGTACAACAAGCTTGTATCAAAAAACAAGATTGCAGGATTTAATGTTAATGAAAGGTATGAAAATATAAGTCATTGATAGTCCTATGCCTTAATCGTAATATATTACTGAAATTATTATTACTGGAATAATTTTTTTCTTTAGAAAATTTAGAAAAAGGATTTCCTTGGTGTGCACTAATGCCATATGTCTGGACTTTTGTAGGGTGACTTCTGCTGTGAATGATGAAGTGATAGAGAAAGTTGTTGAGGTTGTCCTGGTAACCCATGGGGGTGCAGAAAAGTGTTCATGGTCATCTGCCCAAATAAGAGGTAAAAATAATAAAGTATAATGATTATAGCACTTATGCGCCTACTGGCACGAAGAGTTATGATGAAAACTTGACTTAATCAGTAAAAGATTCCCATGTGTTATCAGAATAATAAAGCACACAATGGCTATAAATTTACATGTATTTCATGCTTATATTTCAGAGGCGCTCAAAACTTATCATAGAACTCTAAAAGACAGTTCAAAGAGGTCAAAGGTTCCAGGACATAAGATCCAGTGCAGAAGAGATGGTCGAGTTAAAGAGGTAATTTTTAATACAGTTTTGTTATTTGATAAATTAAACTTTTTTGCTTAACTACTGCGAAGACTGATTGAGGTGGGCATGCATGTGTACAGAGGGCTGCTTGCAATTATGGACACTGTATTTCAACCTTAGAGGTGTCTATAATAACAAGAGTTAACTGTAGACTGCATCTAAGTCATAATTTGACTTTTATGATTATCAATAGAAAAGAAGCTAATAATTCCTTTCTTGTTATTATTATTTTAATAGAAAATGATGAGAAGACTAAATGCTCTCGAAAATGTAGAGGATTGGTCAGAGCGCATCAAAKAAAAGRTTGGGGCTGTTGYTGGAYCCAGAGAGTACAACAGTTCTGAAGAGAGTGATATGGAGCAAGATGAAAATGGCAAAGATTGCAAAGTTTTTAAGGTGAAACGTTTGCCATGGGAAAGCCAC